GATCACAATTAATCATAGCATGTGATAAAGCACTGTGTTTCTTCATCTCGACTGGAATGCCATATAGAAACTGAGAACTTGTCCCATGTTCAGATTGACTTCGGATTTGCCATTGACCAGAACTTGGTTCAAATACTATTTGACATCTTTCAAATACTTTGAGCTTTTGCTCTAGCCTGTCTGGAGTGCCAGTTGGGTGGGCTTTAGAGTTTTGGAACAATTTTATTGGTCAGGCAGACTTACTCAATCAAGCAGATCAAGTATTTTGCATTATTTCAAGTAGCATTTGAACCCAGGTCTTTCGTTGATGGAGAGCGGGCATTCTTAATAACGAGGGGGACCAATTTCATAAAGAGCTCAGCAACAATTTATGATTTCTTTTGTTTGTTGTCATCGGGGGGAAAATGTCACTTTGATGCTGTTTACTGACTAGTTTTGCAAAAAACTTCATGAAGAATAAAAAGAGAAAGCATCAAAAGTATCCTGTTAACGGGACACAGATTTTTGTCATGCTTCCCGACCCATCTGCTTCAAGTTAGGGCTATTGAGCTAGAGGAGTGAGAGTGAGGGGTAGGATGTGAGGGGTGGTGGTGGGGGCTATAGAGGGGTGTAATATTGACAGAGGACAGTGGGGAAATGTATGTGTGTTTTTCAAACCCCTCTGTTGTTTTGGATGAGGAGGAGGATGAGGAGGTGTGTATGTGTGTGTGTGTGGGGGGGGGTTCTTGTCGGTCTAGAGGTAGATGCAGGTGCGAGTTGCAGTGTCTTTTTACAGTTAGAAAAGTGGCATGATTTCCACCTTCTGAAACTGTATAGTATTTAATGAAGATATGAAGATAACTCATAAATGGTTTTCTTGCATTTAGTAGAACAGAGAATCCAGCATTGTCTTGTAGGATTTTCCTTGTGCAATACCGAGGATTATCTATAATGATAAATTAGCTCAGAGACAAGCTTAAACCAGTAAATTATAGCAATGTTGTAAGAGGCACCCAGGGCATTGCGGCTCATTTGAGGGTGTGTTGGGAGATGAGTGGGGGGTGGGAGTAGTAGCTACAATGTTAGGTGTTGAAGAGTATTTCCAACAGGCAAGCCAAATTCCTCAATTCTCTGTATAATCTAAAATAGCCTCTCTCTCTCTAGTCCCTCGGGGCAACTGAAAAGATTGGGAAGTAAAAAAAAAAAAAACTTTGTCAACACAGTTACCCCTGGTGATGCTCTTTGTCTTAGTAAAGTAGTGATGCCCCCTTTTTCCGTGTCCCGTTCTCTCTTCTCCTGTTTTTTCCAATCTGTCTCCTACCCCTTCTGTCTTCTGTACCATTCTAGCAGTCCCTTGAGGACCCTAGGACCCTAGTCAGCCAGTCTGGCTGGGGCTGCCCTTGGTGGTGCCTGTGCTGGTTAAGCTCCCAGTGGGCCTTCCTTGGGAAGCAGCCTGTTTGTATGGAGCAGGGGGCCCTGTGCTCGCAGCCAAGGGGAAGGGGGCTCAATCTGTGCTGGGGCCGACCCCCTAATGCACTCTTGCCGTGCGCCCTATTGAGGCCTAAGGAAGCGTGAAAAATCGCTGCAAAAACCAAAGAGCTAAGTCTCCTTGTTATACAAGGCCAATTTTCGGCACTGACCCCACCCCTCCCTCTGTGTGTGCCCCCCACCCCTCTCTCACTCAACCCCCCTTGTCAGGCTTGGAAGGCTTCGTTAAAGCGAGCCGAGCCCTTTATCACATCATTTAATTAGCCATTCCACAGCAAACTGCTACCGCCGTGTCCCCCTGTTGCTTGCTGCCGCCCCCCCTCTTCTTCCTCCCTCCTCCTGTCTCTCCCCAATCCCCCACTACACCCCTCCTCCTTTCCCTCTCCTGACTGACCCTCCCCCCAGTCCCCCCGGTCCACTCTTTATCCTAGGTAATTAGCCGGAGGGCTTGGCGCTGGTCTGGCCTGCATAAAGGGGATGGGAAGATGGGAAGATGGGAAGCGGTGTTCGCTGGGCTCCGGACTCCCCTGGACTCCCTGCTCCCTGTCAGGGGGGGCTGCCGATGGACAATAGCAGGGTCTACAGTAGCCAGCCAAGGTCAGCCCAGGTCCCCTACTGCTAACTGGTTCCTAATCATTAGCCAGCTAGACAGCTACTGCATGATGACTAGAGAGGTTACAGGGTTTAGAGCTCGAGGGTAAATTATACTGCTGTGAGTTCTCCAAAATGTTGTTCCACATCTCCCTATAATGATCTTATTAATAACATAATTTCTAATATTAGTTTTCTTCTTTAATCTTAGTTTAGAATAAAAAGTGTTATTTTCTTAGAAGCTCCATGCTTTACCTCCATTTATATCCATATCTCTAACACAGAAACAATAATTGATAAGATAATTAGGGTTAATTGGTACAATAAAAAACATGAATCAAAGTATCCTTTGAATCAAATTCTCTAACCAATTTTCTTTAGATGGAGAAGATGATACAGAGATGGGAAGTTAGTCAATAAAGACTTGTTATGACATTGTAATGACATGAATATCAATTGCACACTCCCTCCCCATTGATTAGAATGCATGGTGAGGCAAACAATCCTGGGATTCCTGCACGCTGGATCGACGCCCCCTAGTGACCACTATAAGGGCAAGTACCCTATCACAACCACAAATATCAGTCTGTCTTTCCACTGTGTACAGAGCATCGTTGAAAATAGATCATACAAATGATACATTTATCAAATAGCCTCAACCCAAAAAGATTGTATAATGATTGTATGCGTCAAGAGGTCAAGTATTGAACACTATTCCAAAAGATGTTACATTTTATTGACCAAGCATAAAGTGTATCTAATAACTTCTAAGTAGGTATTAATGACAAGTGACTGTGTTGATAGTAAGATAATGTCAGTGGCATCAACATTCGTTTAGAAAAGCCTGATCACGCGTAATTAGGCCTACGAATGAAATCAGTTTCTCCATATCAGTTGCATTATTGACAGCTCCATATATTCAACTGAAACCAACGTTTGAGGCTCAAGCATGCATGATCCTCTAATCACTGCAGTTAGTCAGCATGAGAGAGGTTACGTTTAGTAAGGCTATCCATGACCATTTATAGCTTTAATTGCGCGCTTATTTTGTGACCCCAAAGTTCAAACAGCGAAATCCTGTGTGGGGACAGAGGTCCTCATGAACAAAGGTGGAATGTGACGCTCGTTTTCAGTTAGAACCCCTCGGACACACTACTAAACGTTTCCCACCCTTCTCATGGGAATGTTATAAACTGGGAAACACTTAAGTACTTCAATTAAATATTGACAGCGTATTGAACCTATCAACTCGAGTGCGTTGCAGCAAGATAGTCATTGCGCACAAGTTCCGAAATATGAGGAGGAGAGACATGCAGATTGTAATGTGAGGAGCCTGCTTATTACTATTTTATTTAGGGGAGAAAGCAAAATATGTGGCTATATCACAGTTTAGGATATAATGTCACTCTCGGTGATAAATCGGTTTCTTTAGGACCCTGTGGATAGTGTGATTGTGGCCGATCTTTTTCGCGTTCTGTGAGGGGAGGGGGCGGAGGGGTGCTGTCAATCATAGTGAAAGTGGCAGTGGTGGGCAGGACCCACTGACACTTTGTACGGTCGGAGGGGGATATTTAACTTGGGATTGAGCACCGCTCGCAACAGACACACTCACACACAGTGTGCCTAAGCAAAGAGACGCTCAGCGCCAAGTCTGAGACCTCCTAAAGTAGGAGCGAGTAAGTAGGAGATACTGTACCAGCTATCAAAGGAGTAAAGATTCTCCCCCAGGAATTAGCGCAAACACTGACCCGGCAAAAGAAGGCAGAACTTGGACTGATTCAACCATGCAACGGCGGTGGGACTTGTAGCTCTTTTTGATATCTGTAGTGAAATCATCGTGTCATCGAGGTGAAAAGGGATATCAAACTGAAGTGAACTTAAACTGGCTTGTTACCTTTTGCGTTTGATATGCATTTTATTCGTGTCAGTTTATATTAAGATGTGACGTTTTTTTAGTTGTTACTAAAAATAACAACTAAAAAAACAGTGCGTCCTGGAGTAGTATAATTTTGTTTTTTAGAGGTAAAGCTGCATTTTGGTTTGGATAGACCTTTTCAACAGGACTGAGAAAGGGTTCTGCTTGCATAGGTGTGGGAGACTACAGTGGTGCGTTTTGCCAAAGAGACATCTGAATATGCTTGGACAATTTCAGTGAGGTCCTATGACTCCAAACAGAACGTTGGAATATCGTACTGGGACTGAATAGAAGTCACAGGACACCGCTCACTCCATGGATTCTGCGCTCGCGTTTGGACTTTCTCAAACCTGAGTGCGCCAAGCCAAGTTGAAAGAAGCCACGTTTATAAAAGTCGTGCGTAAAAATAACATTGGCCAAGACAACCCTCAATACCGGAACAGTGACATTTAAAACTTGGTGAAGTAGCCTACTCTTTTGTGCACCCCTCTCTCTCGGGGCGTTCTGGATCTATTTTGTCTCTGAGGAGAACGCAGATCTTTATAAACACTTCATTCCATGTCACTCTCGCCTCAGCCACTGTCATCCAGTCTAGACAATTTGTCGTGGCTTTGAGTGTCCCTGGCGTAACCATGACAACCATAAGAAACCCAAAGTGAATTTAAGGAAAACAGTGACACGGGAGAGTGGGTGAATAGAGTTTTTCCATTTTGTTTTGTGCTGTTTTGGTTGAGCCTAAACTTTAATTTATTAATTTATTTACAAAGAAGAGGCACCCTTTGCGTTCTACAAGATTGCATCAGCAAGCAAACGTAAGAGGCATATTGCTAAGGATCTCTAAAAAGAAACTCCACTCCATGTCATTCAAACCTGACGTGGTCTATTAAAAGTATCGTCTTGCTCGTGCCTCTACTTCAACTATTTATGAAGCCCCCGGGCTACTCATTTCAAAGAGCACAGTAGCTGTGAAAATAAATCAATATTTAGGCTAATACACCAGAAGAGCCTTTACGCAAACAAGGTAAATATGGCCTTTTCACAGACGCTACTAGTTTATGTACTGGTGTCCATTCACCTTGGAGTTTCTCAACATTATCTACGCCTGCGCCCCTCGCCCAGCGAGCACCTTCCCGTGCCAGACCTCAAGGAGGACCCCGACCCGGAATACGACCCCCGGGAACAGGACCTGGCCGAGAGGACTCTGCGGAAAAAGCTCGGCAGCAACTTTGATCCCAACTTCATGTCCATCAGCTCGCCCATGCTGGTGAACCTCTCCGTGCAAGACACCCAGATGAAACTGCAAGGACCCATGCCCAACGAGATTAAAAAGCTGGATCTCTTAGAGACCCCCTACGGGAAGCGGGTAAAAGTGGGCAAGAAAGCCCGCAGGAAATTTCTGCAGTGGCTGTGGACGTATACGCACTGTCCGGTGGTTTATACCTGGAAGGATTTGGGCGTGAGGTTCTGGCCACGCTACATCAAGGAGGGAAACTGCTTCAATGAGCGATCTTGTTCCTTCCCGGAGGGGATGTTTTGCAAACCTGTCAAGTCAATCACCAAGACTTTCCTCCGGTGGTATTGTCAAGGGTTTTTAAGACAGAAATATTGTACGTGGATACCGGTGCAATACCCAATCATCTCAGAGTGTAAGTGCTCTTGCTGAGTTTCAATGGAAGTAGAAGGGTTGGGGAAGTGGACTGGAAATATACGGTTTCTATTGCACTGTAAACTCTGAACAGAGGTGGGCACCATAGCGAATCTATTTTTTTATATAGCATTTTAATAAAAATGCCAACATTGTACATATTTAAGAAAGATGCAGCTATTTTTTTTTATGAACAGGACCATATTTTATTTCATCCCTGAAACGTGTTTTTGGATGAACACAAGCACTTCGGAAAGAAGAGCTTTTATTTTTTATGAAAAATGTAAGATGGAATGCATACAACTTCTCCAAGGAGTTAACTTTTTTCAACTGAACATTGATGCTGACTGTTATTTCACTGCAATGCTGCCTAGAGTTTTTGTATGATATTAATATCAATAATAATTAAATTGAAAGTTGAGGATAAAGATATATATATATATATATATATATATATATATATATATATATAAAGGCGTGAACTCAGCTTTTGGAATATTGTAGAAAAAAACAAATCTGTACGGTTTATTTATTATTTTAACGATTGTGAGTATAGAACATAAGCAAAGAAAATAGCAGAGTATACCAGAAATTATGGGAGATGTCTACTTGAATATTTCTAAAAAATTAAATAAAAGGTAAACATATCAGTGTACATGTTATGGTTACACGTTTTAGCAATAAAGTCAATATTTTCTCGAGCAAGTTGCTTATAACGTGTGTGTCCCTGTCCAAGGGGGCGTGTATGGTCGTGGAGTGGAATGGAGTTGCTAAATGCACAGTAAGTCCGAGCTGAAATGAATCGGGACGTTACAGACGCTCCACGCTGTCACTGTGATTTTAGAAACGGGTGATTTACTATGTTGTGTAACTAATGCGCAACACATACCTAAAACGCCTCGACAGAACTGGCATTCATTGTTTGAGCCAGCGGAGAAGAGAGGCCATGCGTATCTATCCCCTCTCTCATGCAAATGCTCATTTCTCGGATCCAAGGTGTTAACATAACGGTAAAATATGATTCAGACATTTCAGACAGTGTCCGATGATGAAATGGCGGGGTATATGCAAGCCAGGGGCGTCTGGGTCTGTGCTATTCACTGGAAGCTCTGCTGCACAAAGTTCTACTGGGGGGGTTGTGTTGAGGTAGAGCAGACAGGCGCCTATTCAAGCCCTATGACAGCATTCGAAAAAAACAAAGACCATAAAACAATGGTCAACTGTTTTTGACGTTACCAGCCTATTAATTTGCGAGCGGCTGAGCTGTCTGCAAGTTAAAGAGATATGGTCAATTAAAGAGCCCTAGACACGCATGGAATTACTCCATGAAATCAAAGCAACGACTATTTTACTCCAAGTAGGGATTTTATTGTGTTTATATTATTCTTTAAAAACAATCAACGACTTAAACAGTCGCCATTACCCAGTGTTTAGAACATGACCAAATGTTCTAAAACTGGAGCTGTGTAATTTCCCGGAAAACACCATCTTGTGCACGTTAAAGTGATTTGTGTCTTCGCGGGCTGAGTTGGATTTGACACATGCCACACGGTTATTGTGACAGATATGCTGAAGGGATTTTGTAAGGAGAGGAGAGTGGCAATATGCCAGCGGAAGAGGGAGCTGCTTTCCTTACTGTCAGCTTCTTTCTTGATGATGTCTCGGGGTTTTAGAAACTGCGTCTCTGACTCTGCGGCGCCACTCAGCCGCCCCCTCTCGACTGCGCAGAATGAAGCACTTTGGGAAACAGTAACCCTTTCAGGCTCTGCCCGGAGTGTATTTTAGAAGCGTGTGAAAGGCAATACGCCGCCATGGCTCCAGCGAGCTAGGTGCGCACCTTTTAGAACAGCCCTGTCAGGCATTCTGGAGTTGTTAGTTTGGATTCCTCTGTGCCATGACTCTAGTTTCCTTGTTATTTCATATAATTGATGTGTAGAATGTATATTCCTCCCCAATTGTAAGGTGTGCATCTTATAGAAAAGTAAGCCCCCGGAAGACAAATTATATGCAATAAACCTGGAGTTTATATGAAAAACACAAATTACGCACGTGTTTTATAGTTCATGTTAAAAACACAGATTATACACAGATTTTGTGTTAATTACTTGATGTCTGAAATCTTACTATTCAGTCATAAAAAGTGCTATTCCAATAGTAATAAAAACAGTTGGATCTGAGTGTCATTTTAAAGCTTTAACCAAGGGATACAGCACATTGGCTCTCCCTGTTTCCCTATCAAGTTGCGCACAATGGAACGCATTGCGACCATGGAAGATTTGATGCATGAATGTGGAAGAAACGTGCTAGCCAACCACGAACATTCAAACCTCAATGGGCACCTTACATTGGGTCTAGCCTAAACTACATCACCAAGACAGGTAGTGCACTTGAGTTAACAATGCATCTGGCTGAGTATAGACTGGTTCTCGATAGTCCTAGTCTAGTGGAATGCCATACTATTTCAATGGTTCAACACCCACATACCTAAATTACCTATTACCATGAAGTATGTTATTGGACATAACACTCTATAACCAGACATAAACATCTTAGCTCAAGTTCAATTTAAATCCTAATGGCTGACAGGAGGAACCTGACCTCCAAGACATGATTGACACGTTACAGTGGTGAGGCATGAGAGTGAAAGGGGTCCCGAACAACATTCCAAGTATGCCTTTTCATGTGCACTGGTGACATGTCAATGGATTAGGGCAGTAGGCTATTGCTAGGCTGAAGTGTTCGTTTGAGTCATTCACTAGTTCTGCATTTGTAAACTACTATACCTGTCGTAGGAGCATGTCAGTGTTTTGATACCATTTAGACATAATTATTGGAAGTTAGCCAGATTGGTTCACCACGAAAGGTCATGAATGAAACACGTTCCTTGGTAGGTATCAACCTTTTACCACTCTACTCTACAATGGTACAGTTTCTCCATTATATTGGATTCTACCTGAGATGTTGGTGTTTTATAGGGTCACTTTCCCAGACCCAGAATAAGTCTAGTTTCCATGGACTAAAAAGCATTGTCAATGAAGAGTCCAGCAGTAGGAAACCATCTAGGTTTTTAGTCAAGTAAACCGGCCCATAAATATTCAGAGCCCATATTCATAAGAGTAGGAGGGCCGATTTAGGGTCAGGTAACTCCTAATACAGGGTTTCCCAACTCTTTCCTTGGGTCCATCAAGACGTTTCAAATATTATTATTTATTTGTTGTATTTTACCCCCTTTTTCTCCCCAATTTCGATCATGTCTCATCGCTTCATCTCCCCAATGGGCTCGGGAGGCGAAGGTTGAGTCATGCATCCTCCGAAACATGACCCGCCAAACCGCGCTTCTTAACACCCGCCCGCTTAACCCGGAAGCCAGCCGCACCAATGTGCTGGAGGAAACACCTTTCACCTGGTGATTGAGGTCAGCCTGCAGGCTTCCAGACCACCACAAGGAGTCGCTAGAGCGCGATGAGCCAAGTAAAGCCCCCCAAGCCAAACCCTCCCCTAACCCAGATGACACTGGGCCAATTGTGCGCCGCCCTAAGGGACTCCCGATGACGGCCGGTTGTGATACAGCCCGGGCGCAAACCAGGGTCTTTAGTGACACCTCAAGCACTGCGATGCAGTGCCTTAGACCGCTGCGCCACACGGGAGCACCTCACATTTGTTGTTTTAACCCTAAACTGGCACACCTGGTTCAATTAGCCAACTAATCATCAAGCCTTTTACTAATTGAATCAGGTGTGCCAGTTTAGGGTTAAAACTAAAATGTGAAACATCTGGGGGGCCCCAAGGAGAGGGTTGGGAAACCCTGATCTAAAAGGCAAAACTGATCCTAGACCAGAACTACTCGGAGACACTTTGTGAAACGGGCCCAGGATCTTATGCCTGAGATTAATGTGACTGTAAAACATTTCCCAGTCTCTCTCTTATAATTCACGTACAGGCAATTTAATCATTTTGGCCCGAGGATCATTAAGTGAACTATGAGTGGAGTTGACACAATAATGATAAGGACAGCTAAATTACGAGGCTCATCATCAGATTAACTAAATTATCATGATAAATTATAGCTGCAGTCGTGAGTGATGGGGATGTGTTGATGCTGGTTCACACCACACACATACAACCACATGCACACGCACACACACACGCATGCACACACTCGTACATGTGCACGCACACATGCACACAAACATTTATTATTTGGAAGGCTCAGGATCTACAATGTTTATCCTGTGATAATAAGCAATAATTGATGGCTGGATGGATGGATGGTTGGGTGGGTGTTTTGGATGGATGCTGACCTGGCTGACGTGGATGTTCATGTGGGCCATGAGGTCCTTTGCAGCACTGCGTAGGTCCTGTAGGAGGCGGTGTGGAGCACTCTGGATATCCTGGTCCATCTCCAGAGACTCCTACTTCACACGCGCACACACCCACACACACACACACACACACACACACACACACACACACACACACACACACACACACACACACACACACACACACACTCCCTGGTCTCTAGTGTGGCTGTGGTTGGAGACAGGGAGAAAGACACAGAGACAGGGTCTGTAACCCCCAAAACCATGGGTGTAGAAGCTTGTGAGTCAGCAGTCCTGAGGTTATTGATGATGACAGGGTATTAGATGGAGAGAAGAGGGGAAGAAATATGGAGGGAAGATGATGGGAAAGGGCGGAGGAGAGCTGATACCGAATGCACCACTGCCGCCGGCTGAGGGTTCGAGCGGAATTCCGCCCTGACCGCTACTCCCAGGACCTATACGGCCCTGTTCAAAAGTAGTGCTGGCGGGGTATGTCTGTATGTGTGTAGTATGTGTGTGTGCATGGGGTGAGATCTGGGTATAGGTGCACTGTACATGTGTGTTTTTATTGTATGTTAGGAAGTGTGTGTGTGTAATATGACTGTGTGTGTGTGTGTTTGTGTGTATGTCTGGATGTGCAGGTTTTCCAGATCAATTACTGACTTCCGGGTGGTCTTTGGATGATGCTAAAAATAA